AGAGATTACTGGGATGACTTACATACGTCTGTACTACGATGATACATTGCCTGTGTTTTAAGGTATCTTAGTGTATATATTGTAAAGACCTATCTTATATGTATTTAGAAAACCTCGCCAATGACGGTTCAAATCGAATCGAGGAGAATGTACACATTTTGAAAACCATGAATATGCTGAACAATCGGTGTATATGGGAGCTGCGGTACGATTGCACTCTCTAACTAACTTGTAAGAGGATGATAGTGCAAGACCTGATGAAAGTCCGAACAGTTCCCTTGTAATTACTTATACAGTTCTCTGTTATTGTAGTCCCTGTTATTGCTCCGGTTACAAATATGTGTGCTGAAGTGATGTACCACTGTTATGCGGTAATACAGAATATAAAGACACAGAATTTCTACGACAAGGGACGTCAGTTCAAGAAGGAAAATATAACTCAGTTAAGACTGAAATGGTTAACGTAGCCAGTATCATATAGTCATAGCCAGTCCGTCTTAAAAGTTTCCCGTGCCCAGTGTGCGGAAAGCCTTGTCTCTGCGTCTTTCCTTTATCCTCACAAAGTTGCATTGAAAAGAACTTGAATTCTTCTGTTGATTTGATTATATGGATGACATCCTCTGGGACCCAAAAACTGATGCGCGCGTGCGAATAAAAAAAAAGTTTTGCAAAAAAGAAAAGTTGCTTTCACTATGAAATCTACGTGGTCATGAAGGTTGAACAAATGGCACAGAATATGTTATGGCGAATAATCTACTCTTCGAATTCATTTCTTTACATTTTTCCTTTGATTTTGGCATTCTATAGCTACGACATTGGTATCGTTTCTAAATGTTTTCCTTGCAACTTATGGTAAATTTTTGCTCATTTAGCAACTGTTTTGCACGATTTACAGTATGGTTGAAAACTTTTTTTTTTTGGAAACGGCCGAAAATTCATGCGCGCGGATGTCATCCATATAATCAAATCAACATGGCCTTATGTACAAACACATACTTTTCATAAAGAGAAGGAAAACTACTAGAAAAAAAACAACTAAACGCGGTGACATATTGGTTTATATTCAGACAATCACGACATCTCCTTTGAAACATCTGACTTCAAATGCTGACCTTGTTCAATTCCAAACAATGTTCCTGTCCAAGCTGTCGGAAAAGCTCCAAAGTCATTGAAAAACAGCTAAGCAGCTGAGAGGGAAGACCTCACCCGCAAGGTGTTGCCAAAAATGAATTCCCTGGGAGGGAAGACCTCACCCGCAAGGTGTTGCCAAAAATGAATTCCCTAGGGAATGCGTGCGTGGAATATTTAGAATTCCTGGCAATTCAATCGCAGTACTATACTAAGGGCTCCGCCCCTGAGGCGTCGCCAAAAAGCTCCACTCAGTGATACTTAGGTAACGTAGCATTAGGCAAACAACCACAAGGGACAACTGTTAAAATCAGCGCAAGATAACAACATTAATTCTAACTCCAACACTATAAATCATATTCTCTAAGAAAAACATGTCATGCATAAACATTAGTATAAATATACATGTGTTACTCTAGGACTGTCTTGGGCTGTTCGGCGTTTAACAGGTCAATGTCAAGATTCAAGATGGATTTATTGGCTCTTCGCAGTTAAAAACAACTGAATTGTAAACCAATTTACAAAACATTAGTACATTAAAAACTACAGGTTTGCAATCAATATAGGCGTACGATTACCAAACCAATAAAGATAAACATACATGTTCCATACATTATAAATTTCCCGGACAACATTTGATACAGAAACAGTGTACTACATTTTAGAAAAACAACAGTCAGGGGTTCAGTCCATAGTTATTGAGGAGCTGGACCATAAACGGTATAGGCGAGTTCTTATATCTATTCGTTCTTGCTCTCGGATAGTCTAGCTTCTCGCTGTTTCTAGTACTACGGCCAGTTATTTGTGATCTCTGTGGAGGTAGCCAATCTCTGTACTCTGACCTCACAAGTGTCCTAGCAAACTTCACACACAACAGGTCCACTAAGAACGGCAATGTGCTCTTCCTATATCGTTCCGTCCTACATTTAAACTGTGTTACCTGGTGTACCACACAGGAGACACAACTCGTCTGAAGTTTGGATGTGATCGTCTGCTCGCAACCCGGGACTGCGGCCTTGGCAGCATCTGTCTTCGCCTTCAGGTCGTTGTAGGCTGCTGTCATTTCATCACGCAAGTAGGAAGCACCGCTTGACTGAAAAGCTGAGAAAATATCGATCATTGATACATTATTTTATAAATAATCCATATTTTCAGATATTACACGTTTTAGTTTACTGTCCCCTATAAAATTTCCTTTCTTTTGTATTTCATGCGTGTATTAGGTTTACCTTGGCAGAAGGAAAAGATCATTGATACATTATTTTATAAATCATCTATATTTTCAGATATTCCACGTTTTAGTTTATTGTCACCTATAAACTTTCCTTTCTTTTCTATTTCTTGCGTGTATTAGGTTTACCTTGGCAGAAGGAAAAGATCATTGACACATTATTTTATAAATCATCTATATTTTTCAGATATTCCACGTTTTAGTTTATTGTCACCTATAAACTTTCCTTTCTTTTCTATTTCTTGCGTGTATCAGGTTTACCTTGGCAGAAGGAAAAGATCATTGATACATTATTTTATAAATCATCTATATTTTTCAGATATTCCACGTTTTACCTTTAGGTTTACCTTAGCAGAAGGAAAACACATTGTTTTTGCTTGTCCAAACAAATAAAGACGATGATCGGGACCAGACGTCTGTCACCATGGTAACTAGTGCTGTATCAGACACCCTGTGGTGTTGGGTTATATTATGTACGGCAAAGGTCAGTATTAGCGCAGGTGCAGAGTGCCCAGTTTT